GTAATAGCTTGAACTCTTTCTGGCAAAGGACGGGAACCCTTAGGTGTAATTAGGTAGCCTAGAAACTCGATTTGGGGAACAGCAAAGACAGATTTTGAAACATTAATTCTTAACCCAAATGTATGTAATCTTTCGAAAACTAATTTAAGGTGATTTTCGTGTTCTTCATGGGTACTGGATGCAATGAGTATATCGTCTAAATAGGGAAAAACGAATTCTAATCCTCTAAAGACTTCGTGAATAAATCTTTGGAACGTTGCAGGAGCATTTTTTAAACCGAAACTCATTACATTAAATTCGTATAAACCGAAAGGAGTGATGATAGCCGTTTTACATTTGTCTTCTTCTGCAATGGGAATTTGAAAATAAGCTTTGAATAAATCAATTTTAGAAAAAATATTTGTACCTCTTAAAATATGATGAAAATCTTCAATGCGAGGAATTGGGTATCGATCAGGTATCGTCTGCGCATTCAATCGTCGGTAGTCTCCGCAAGGACGATATGAACCATCCTTTTTCGTAACAAGGTGCAAGGGGCTTGACCACTGGGAGTTTGATGGACGAATTATTCCATTGTCAAGCATAAATTTAAATTCCTCTTTAGCTATAGCTAAGCGTTTTGGATCGAGCTGTCGTGCCTTTGAATAAACGGGTTGACCAATCAGTCGTAATAAAATGTGTAACACCATGTTTAATTTGTGTAGGAAAAAGGTTAGGTTTAGAAATTTCGGGATATTTCGACAGTAAATCGAAAATTTTTATGGATTTATTTAATGTGGTTACTGAGTAATCACTGGAAATAGCAGCGACATCACACTGGACACAAAGCTGTGTTACGCCATCAATTAATTTTTTCTTATTTATATCGACAAGCAATTTATATTTGTGAAGAAAGTCAGCTCCTAAAATACCTTTTGTGACATCAGCAATTATGAATGGAAACTGAAAATCACGACGTAATCCCAAATCAAGAGTTAGCGTTTTTATGCCATAAGTGGAAATATCTGTGCCATTAGCTGCATACAGTTTATATTCAGTTTTACATTTATTCTGTGAAGTAGCAGGAATTATGCTTACGTCAGCTCCGCTATCAATAAGAAAGTGCAAATTTGATCTTCGGTCACGAACGAATAAACGAAATTTGCGACAATCCTTCATATTTTCTGCAGCAGCGTTTGCCGCTGAACCTACTGCAGATTCGAGTTTTCCTGGTTTTTTGAAATCGTTTTTTACCCAAGCACACGGAGGCTTGCATTTCTCTGGAATGCATTTTGCTCCAAAACGAAAGTGATAAAAACAAAATTTGCCAGTAGGGTCATATCGTTTACGAGATCGGCTTCGAGATCGTGAACGTGAATTACGTAAATCCGAGTCCCTGCGTCTTGAGCGAATGGTTATTTGATCAATTTTTTGTTCAAGAAAGGTAATTCTTTGCAACAAATCATTTGCGGGAACAGAAGGAGCATTAGTACTAAATACTTCTGGTTTCCGATTCATATCACTAATTTTATCTGCCATAGACGCTAACTTGGTTACATCTTCATCACTAACTAATAATATATTTTTTATGGAGTCAGGTAGCTTCTCCAGCCATAAAGTTTTGATTAGATTTTCAGACACATCTGTAGTAGCAACTGATCTCAACTTCTGCAAAAGGTTTCATGTCTCCAAGTTCGATACCAGTAATCAAACGTTTAATCCGTACATTTTCACTTTCTTTGAATAAATGTAATAACCTAATTTTAGCATCCGAATATTTTTGTGGCACTATCGTTCGTTACAATGTCCCAAATATTTTCGACGAACTTAGGTTCAAGCTGTGAAACTAAATAATTAAATTTCGTTTCTTCTGAAACGATATTACTAATTTTGAACTGAGCTTCAACTTGAAAAAACCATATTTCCGGTTTATCAATCCAAAAAGGAGGTATTTTTACACTCACCTTATGAAGCTCCGGTGACTGCATCGTATCTTTCATAGCAGTTTCAGAAGAGTCATTTGTTGACATTTCGAAAATTAATCAGGGTCACCACGATGTAGCCTTGGCTACTAATGTTTAAAATTAATTTATGACTAGTAACAGCATGAATTATAAACAAATAGCTAAGTTATTGCATTTTATTTTCCAGCTATCGAAATGCGACGCTACGAGCAACGTTTTGAAACCAAAACCTAGCAATCATGAATCAGAACTAGAACTAGTTGCCATTCAGCATAAAGAAATTTAAATATAAATATGAATATTAACAAAATATTAAAGTTAATTTTATAAAATAATTAAACACATGAACAAATATATGAAATAAAAAATAATTATTTCTCATGCAATAACTGGGCCACTACAGCATCTTGAGAGAAATTAAGTGCCCTGCCTTCCACTTTATGAAAAATTTTGTTAGTTCTTTTTGTAAATAGTCTTTCTTGTACTTTTTCTAATTAATTTTGAAGTTTATTAATGTGTTTTGTCAATTAAAACTTCGGAATAATTTGAATAGCTCATCTGAAAATTATTTTTAAAGTAAGCAATTTTTAATATATTTTTATGTAAAGTAAAGCAAAAAGATTATTAAATGCTAATTTTAATATATATGATAGCTTAAGTAATAATCTAAAATGGTACCAAAAATTACTATGTTAGGACTTTAGAAAAAAAAAAAAAATTCCCCCCTAAAGTTAGGCTTAGCGACACAAAACGTGTCCTGTGAGAGCATTCATTTCAACTCTCTTCCATTCCAAGAATATGTCTTAATGCGCAGAATCTCGAAAGGGTTAATTAAGTCTAAATATGCACAACAGAAAAGCAAAGTCACCTACTAATATTTTTGGTATTGTGGATTGTTTACAGCAAAAGAACATGCAAATTATTTAAGAAGGCATATTTATTTCTTAATAGTTTTTCCTCCTTTTTTATGTATAATTATCTACTCTTTTGCAAGTCTCTTCCTTGGTACAGTACTGATAACCGGTGAAGATAAATTTAAAGGCAGTTTCTACCAAGTGCAGTTACATATAACATGAGTGCAAATAAATTTCTAACATTTTTTTCATAAAAAAATTGGGCATTTATTGTGAAATAATGGTACATTATGTTTTATTAACAATATCGTCCATCTCTAGCGACTACTTTTTCCTATCTTTCTGGCAGCATACAGGTACTGCATTGGTACAGCATATTGGAAGAATGCTTTGTCTTTTGAGGCCGTCCACGAATCAACCCAGTTTTTAATATCCTTATATGATGTAAAGCACTCCTCAGACAGGCCATGCATCATCAATCATAACAAGGTAATCAAAAGAAGCGATGTCTGGTGAATACAGCCCCAGTGAAAACATCGCATTTGATTGTATCTGAATAGGTTTCTACTGGTGCTGCAACATGTGGATGAGCATCATCATGCCGGAGAATAATTTTGCCAACTCCAGACAACTGTAGTGGGTGCATTTTTCTTTGAGTGCACAGCTCAATCTCATCAGTTGTATTCGATAGAGAGCTCTAGTAATGGTTTCCTTTGAGGAACTTGCAGTGCATGACACCAAGCTAATCCTACCATATATACAACACAATTTTATTTCCATCAATATTCGGCTTGATTTTGAAGTATGGCCATGTGGTCCCCATGATTTCTTCATTCTTGATTATTGTAGTGGATCCATTTTTTATCACCAGTGATTATACTATGTAAAAAACCCTTTCATTTAATGCAGAGCAGCATTTCGCATGTAAAAAATCGGCATTCAATGTTTCTCGTCTTCAGTTTACATGGAACCCAAGTTCCTTTTGAATCATCCCCAATGATTTTAAGATATGAAATTACTTATTGAGTTGCTTCTAATGTAAGTTCAAGTTCTATTTGTGTTTGGCACGAATCTTTACGTAAATTATGCTTCCTTTCAGCGCTTTCATACACTTTCATCCTTTCTCTTATGTTCTTTGTCTTCGACATCATATTTACCATTCTTTTGAAACCACTCACAACAGTTTCTCTCAATTAGCCCTTTGATGTGCATGATATTATTTTTATAATTTTTTAACTAAAAAAACTCTAGAAATTGAATATTATGATCCTAGAGACAAGTAATATATGAATTAAAAAAAAATATTTTGCCCACTGATCTGCGAGTTGTGGTCACACTATGAAACCAGCGCATGTCTAGGAGTTACTGAGGTAGTGGGAGAAAAAAATTTACCTTATTCTGTGTGCATTTCCAATGAATGAAGAAATTTTCAAATTAAAAAAATGTATTTAAAAATTGCATTATATGTAAATATTTTACATTGTTTTCAAAGAAAATCATCAGAAAAAAATATACATTTATGTACCTTTTCTATAGCAGTGAAAACATAAGAAAATAAATTAAAAAAACTTGGTTAATTTTTTTAATGTCAAAGAACAAACTTATTTTTTGTGAAACTGTTCAAAGCATGTTTGGGCTTTTTTTGTACATACATAGATCAACACTGCACATGTATCTTGTTCTATGAGGTTTCTTCCTTGTGCTACAAAATGTACACCACTGGGACTTGCATTTTACTGGCATATGTTCTGCATTCTTTAGTCTCTTTTCGTCTGGCACGTGCAGTTTCCCATTCGTATCATACCCATCTGAATGACTTCAGTATTTTAAAACTGAGATCACTTTCTTGAAACATTCAATATACAGCAATGAAGGCATTTATAATGGTGACATCAATAAAAAGAAAAAAGGGGAAAAAAAAATCAGTGCCACCATTTTTTACTTTTTCTGTAGATTTCATGCAAACTTTTTAATTGGTCAAAGTAGATCACATAGCCAGTATTTATATTATAATCTTTATGAATCTTTACGTACATTATGAAGAGCTCTAACCAAATTGTGAAATAAATTTTCCACTTAAGGAATGGATATAATACAATTTAAAAATTATCAGGATTTTCTATAATATTCAGAGTATATTCTTGGTAATAAAATTTTATTTCTATCTCTAAGAATTCAAATATATATATTTTTTTCCTTTTAGTTTAAAAGGGAAGCTGCAGAAGCTGAAAAAATGAAAAAAGAAATGGGCTTTGATAAAGGACTAGTTGCAGCAATGGCAAACAGGGCTACAGAACGTAAAAATCAGTTTGATGATATGATGAAAAATCTAGAAGCAAAATATGGAAAGAAGCAAACAAATACCAAAAGGAAGAAATGAAAGATTTTGTTCTTTTGATGAAAATATTAAATGTAATTTTATTAAATAAATAATTCAGTAACATCAGAAATTTTTTATTTCACACGACTCATGTACATAAAATTTAAACTTTTAAAAGCAGTGGAATTTTTAAAGAATCGTAAACCATATTATAAATTGAAAAATAAAAGTTAAATTTTTAATATTGAAATGGAACTCATCTATACTGCATATCTGTTACATCTGTTGGGTAGAATTCCCATTCCAAGTATTATTTTCATCTTCATCACTTTGATTATTTATACGAAACACATTACCTTCACGTTTATAAAATGTTGGCTCTCTTCTTCTTGTTGTTGATTGTCTGCAAGAACATATAATAAGATTTATATTATGTAAAATATATCATATCTATAAATCTATGATAGAATACCTAACTTGCATGTAAATAAACATAATTGTAAGAAGGACTTTAAAGAAATGATTATATAATTATTTCTGGATTTAAACTACAAACTCTGCTTGATCTTTTGCATGTTTAGACAGTACTGCAGCCAACCTTGAATTATAAAAATATAAGTTCTTGAACCATGTAGTGATGTAATTTTAAAGGACTCTAAACTGGCTTAAAATTACTTTATAATGAACCATTCAAATTACTAAACAAGTTATAATTCTGAGAAATACATTCACTTTTTGCTTTTATTATTTTCTTAAACTAATGAGTACTAAAGGAATACTCTTATTTACCAAAGAGCTTTTAAACACAATAATATTAATATGCATATACTCAATGTATTTAAAATTTAATGCAAAATGAAATACTAATATTTATACACCTGCATCCATAATGTAATACTGCAATCAGACATTTTTAACTATTGTGCTTAAAAACTGTGGCTGTTTTTACTTCCCTCCCTTTTTTTTTAAACACTAGATTGCCCAAGGAAGTCATTTTGACTGCTTTTTAATTTCAATTAGAAAAACAATTATGTATATAACGAAACAATTTCTTAGAAGTTTGTGACTTTTTGTACAACATAAAAATGTGTTTATTAATAATTGTAGTTACCCCCCCTTCTTTCATTTCTGGTATATTACTTTGATTATTTAGTATTACAGGGCGTATCATTCTAGCAGTGACAAACTTTCAGGAAAGATAGACTACACCTAGAAGATAGGAAATCTTATAGGAATGCATGGTTGAAAATGCTTTTCTGGCTCGGTAGTGACGACACAAAAGTCAAGAAAGAGAGGACACAAACGAGTTGAGAAAACATGTTTTTTATTCAGAGTACAACAAAAACAAAGAAAAAAGAACATAAATGACAACAATCACCAACAAAGCTGTTCCGAATTACGACCCGGACCGTGATGCAGGGACCATGCATCGTGCATCTTCTATTCGTGATGCAGATCTTCCATGCACCAGAGAAGTGAAACCTGCATTATGGTCCGGGGACGTAATTTTGAACACCTTCTTTAATGATGATCGTTGTTTGTTTTTGTTCTTATTTGTAGATTTCTGCTGTATTAACCATAATAAAACACGTTTTGTTTCTGTGTGTCCTTCCTTTCTTTGCAGTTTGCGTCGTCACTACCACGCCAGGGAAAGCTGTTCCGACCATGTATTCCTATGTAATTTCCCATTGTCTAGGAGTACTCTTATCTCTCCTGAAAGTTTGTCACCGCTGTACCGATACACCCTATCTGTGTTATACGTATTATTGCCCAAAAGCAGTCATTGTGACTGCTTGGGAAATTTTAAATAATCAAATGACTCTTATTGGATTGAGTAAATTTCTTATATGACCAGTTCGGCTCTATACTAAAATAAGTTTTCTTTTTTTTTTTGTTGATTTGGGCGTATAACTGATAAGTTGCAGTTTCTCAATAAGCTAAAGTAGTACTTGCTATTCGAATCTTGGTGAACACATTGTTCTGAAACTTGTCGAGCCATAAACAAGCTGTGGAAGAAATATCACGATCAATAACTTTTCCACTAGCATGTCACTTGCAACAAAATTATTGGCCAAAAAAACAACTCTAGTTGGTACTATTAGAGTAAACAAAAGAGAATCAGCCAAACAAACGAAGGATAACATGCCTCATTTTTCCACTCTGCTATATAAATCAGAGAATTGTGTTCTTGCAATATATAAAAGCAAACCAAATAAAAGAGTAGCTGTTCTAAGCATAAATTTGTAAAAATTAATAAAAGTAATAAAAATTTTTTTATCAGAATCTATACAATTTTATAACAGTACAAAATTTGGAGTTGATATGATGGATCAAATGGCCAGAAAATATACAGTAAAAGCTAGTTCTTGTAGGTGGCCCCTCCAAATATTTTTCAATATATTAGGTTTGGCTGCTATAAATGCTTGGATCCTTTACAAAAAATGACAGGAATACAAATACAACGAAAAAAGTTCTTGTTTCAATTAGCAGAACAGCTTTCCACCGAATACAGAGCTGCAAGACAGAAAAAGTCATCAGAACATGAAGACCCACAACTATCAAATGCAACCCATTCTAACAAACACAAAATTTGTCAAGAACAACTTTGCCACAAGAAGAAAACAAATAATATATGTGAAAAATGTCAAAAGTATGTTTGCGGAAGATGTACGCATAAAAAGATTTCCAGTTTCATTTGCAAGAAATGTACAAATAATTCATAATTTTTTTTCCAAGTGAAGTAATTTTTTATTGTTAATATTTACTAATAACTGTAAATAATATAAAAATATTAAAAATTAATTTTAAACAAATTTCTGTACACATTAGTTATTCTTTCACAATGCAGTCATTTTGACTGCTTTTGGGCAATCAATGTAGGTTGTAGAATCTACATGGGTTAAAAATCTATCTGGATATAGGGAGTAGCAGGAAACTATACAGAAGAAGGGTTCAAACCCTTTATTAACTCTTTAAAATTTACAATGCGTCAATTCGACGCTAACAAACTTCGCCTCTACTTGGGCGGTAACTGAAAGCCAGTTAATTGAAAATTAAAAGTTGAAATGTTTAACAAGTGCTAAACTAACCTACAGGGCTCAGCGAGATCCTGAACTTCAACCCCCTTCTAAGCTAGTGGCAGCAAAGGCAATGCAAATTAAGCCGCTTGAACCAGCAATTAGCAAATGTACCTGCTAGTTGAGCAGCTAGAGCCCAACTCTTTTTTTCCCCTACCGAAACTCGGCTTTTAACTACTTCCTTCAACATAGAAACATTTGCATGCGTTCACGCGTGCTACAACATTTAACCATTCTGGCACTGACAATTAAGGAATGAAGGCTTATAGAAAAGTCTGAACATAAAATTTAAAATGTTAGTTAAAATAAATATAAATCCCTACAAGGTATATACTAAGTTTCAGTCTTTCTGGTGTTAATTCTGTCTGTTATGGTACTCTATCCAAGCCTAACAGTGTGGAGGTTACTTGATTAAGCATAATGTGGAAAATATTCAAGCAATTCTGTAACAAATTTTGCACGGTCATCCTTCAGAAAACAATGTTTGAATAACACAGTGGACTTGCTCCAACAAGAGTCTCTGACAAAGATAGGACCATCAATAATTAATACAGTACAAAGTCGGAAATCCGGACTCGTCAGAATTTGGGATTTTTACAGATATTAGATTATCAGTTTAAATCTAGTAAGATGGCATGTAGAAATTATAAAATTAAAAATATGAAATCATGATTAATGAAATAATGAAGTATTTATCACATAAAAGGTATTAAAATTTGCAAAAAAACTTGATATTTATTTGTTTACCTTATTAAACATTTCTTTCAATGTAAGTTGTTTACGTAGCTTTTTTTTTTTTTTTTTTTGGGAGCTAATACTTTCTCTTTAATTCTGTAGACAAACATAATCTCTTGTTTAGTTACACTGTTAAAGTCCTGTAACTGCTATTTCAAGAATTCCGACTAACTTGTCAATTGAAATTTTCTCGTTTCCAGTAACTTTTCTGTCACTTTCTTCACTATCAGTAGAGGTATTTTCTAGATCTAGCACCATACTACAGATTTCACCATTCATTAAATGATTGAAGATTGAGAAGCATTGTCATCACAATGACAAATTTCTTTTATATCAGCTTCACTTATTACCGCTTCTCCACATTTCTTTACAAAATCCGTTATTTGGAAAATTTGACCTTTGTTTTGCGATATCCGAAAAACTTTAAAATTAGCAGCCATCATCATCAAATTAGCTAGCCTTCACTATATATTTGGCTAAGCATCATGAGCTTGGCAACTAGCGACAAGTTGTTCCGTTAAATTTTATCTTGCTTCTATCGCGCACTTAGACAATTTAGCCTGAATAGTATTAGTTTAGTTATTTATTATACTTATGTCTATTTCTTGCACATGCTTAAAGCTTATCAGAGTTATGAATAAGCAAATCACATATACTTAAGCCTTATTGAGAGCCGGCGCTAGATATCTTACCGCCTGATGCAGTCTGTGGGTTCTAAATTGTGACTCGGTGCAGCCATACAAGCCCTGGCACTGGTTCTGGGTTTATGTGAATAACAAATCAGTTATTCTTAATTCAAACAGCCCTAAATATAATCTTTTGGTCTATTAAGTATCATCAACAAAATGTATTTTTAGCACATGGAAAGAAATTTTGCTAAATTTTTCCTAGTCAATGTTTTTTAGCGCATTTAACTTAAATCCGCAATCATCGCCAAAAGTAATGTCAACATCAAAGGTTGCCATACTCCTTTATTATTCAATTACTAGCATAAAAAAATTGTCTAGTCATCACAACATGAGTCATTATTCAAGTTGTATTGTTTTGATAAACATGTGGTGATGAAAGGTAAGTATAATATATAATAATTTGCCAGGTTGGCGTCAGATCAATGATATATCTATGTGGAATGTTTCGGTTTGAGATGTGTGCCAAGCAGTTATACAGCAATGGAGCCAAATTACTGACTGTACAAATTTTTACTAAAATGATTGTTTCTTCAATAACAAGGTTTTTTTATTTAGTGTTGAAGTGAATTAAAAATCAGGACTCTTCAGATGTTTTATTATGCATGGAGGGGGCATCAAATGCACATGCGTAAAGCCTAAGAGAAAAACATTGGTGGTTTCGAGGTCCGGATTTTAGATCATTTCGGATAATGGACGTCCGGATTTCTGACTTTGTACTTTATTTCCAAAGCCTAAACTGTTAGTAATTCTCTCTTCTATACTGTGCAGGAGACAGTTGGATCATGAGGCTCTGAAGAAGTTGCCAATACACAAACTTTACATTTTAAAATCAATTGAGTTGGCAATTCCTAACCTTACCTAAATAAGGACGCAAAATAACAAAATCCACAGTAGTTAAATCTTTATTTCATTTTTCTATGCTTCAATAAATTAGAGTATGTTAGTAACCAAAAAATTAAATTTTAAAATTTATGATTAAAATATTCTTTAATAGCAATCCCTAACATCAATGCATAAAAAGTAGAAAACTTTGATTAGATTTACGTGTACTTTATAATAAATTCACATATGAATAATGACTACCTGTCATTATCACTTGCTCGATTTGCACTAGTAGATGGTTGCTGCGCATTCGTAGGAACTTCTGAAGGAGGGCGATTTGGTTCTTGTGAAGACCCAGGAAAGAATGATTGAAATAGTCTCCATATTCTTGTTAATGGTGAAATCAGCATCCAAAATAGATTGGAAAGGAAACCTGCATTTTTATTTATACTTGCAACAGCCTGAGCCTGTAACAGAAGAAACAGCATAAATTAATTTTTCTTTGTTATTCAAAGGGCACAAAAACTGAAAGCTGATAAGTCATTTTCCATACTGGAGAAACTGGAACACATCTACATATAATTTATGATGTATTTAATTGTGACACTAGAACAAAACTTTGTAATGCTGAAATCCAAACAAACTTAGTTTCTTCATTCAAACTATGTTATCTTTATAGTCATTTACCCTGAATTTTACCTATTAAACAGAATTTATTAAAATAAACATGGAGGGGGGACTACTTTTTTTCTCTTGAGATGTATTAACAGAAAACTTTTTTCCTGTGCATTTACGTCGATAATTCAAATATGTTATATCCCTCCCCCAAATTTTTGGCCGCAATCAATCACACAGGCAAATGGAATAGGGGAGCAGCATTGCAAATATAGTATTATTTCAAGGAAAGCAGTGATGGAAATTATTTTTAAAACAAAATAGAAAATAATTATGAATAAATGGTTTATTAAAGGTTTTAATCCTTAATTAGTTGTATACTGTTGGCAATTTTTCAGCATCAAATATCATGATTCATCATTTTAATTACAGCAAAACATGCAAAGGATAGCTACCTAACAAAACAGTACCTTTGCGAGAGAAGCTGCTTATATTTACGCTACACTTAAAATTAACAGATTGATCAAAATTTTTGTGTCCTCCCGCAAATCAAAAGCTGCTGCAGATGGCATAAACTGGATAAAAATAAATCATTTCAGAACTCTAGTGTACCATGAATGCCATGTAATAAATTCTTAGAGGATAACACAGGAATGGCCAACCAGTCAACTATGAGTATCTACCTATTATATTATTATTTTATATTGTCTCCATTCACGGGTAGATTGAAACAGAGCGGTCAGGAGGAAAGGTAGACCTACTCTCAAAAAAGTTCTGCAATAATAAACCTTTTCATATGTGAAATACTTTGCACATAATAATTACTGAATTTTTCATTGGTTCTACAACTTTAAAAATTAAAATAACAGCATATTTTCAGTGCACCATATGAATGGAAAAAGACGTATGAATTGTCTGCAAACCTTTTGCTTCATAAAAACATTATTATTTCCTGTCTGCACTTCATTTTGCTTCATAAAAACATTATTATTTCCTGCTTCCACATTCATAAAACATTATTTCCTGCTTCATAAAATTATCTTTAAATTCAAATATTGCATCTTTAGGTTTTGGAAAGGGGGTATTGGTTTAAAAATGTTTGAAACTTCTTCCTTCATTTTCAAAATCTCTTCAAAACATTCCCTCTGGATAACCATCATACTTTACAGTGTAAAAGATGTTCATGTTCACTGCCCATTTCTTTACATAAGCGGCGTTCACAAGAGCAGATTCGACCGGTAGCGAAAACCGGTTCTTCCAACATGTCCCATTCACATGGCGAACAAGCATTAACTGCCTCGCCAAATGGAGGTAGAACTTAGTTGAATGTTTCTTCCTCACCTGGAGCAAGGCAAATGGAGAAATATCCCATACTGCACTGCGCGATTGCGCCGTTCACCAATTTAAAAAAACAACATGGCTGACGTGCAACTGACTGCTCGCTGGACTGTCAGCGAAATAATCACGTTGATAGATATCTGGGGATGCGATATAGTCTAAAAAAATTAGATGGAACCGTACGAAATACGGAAATTTGTAAACTAGTATAGACAAGGTTATCTGATGCTGGGTATTCCAAAAATACCGTTCAAATTAAAATTAAAGACGTGCATATAATCTTCAATGAGACAAAGGGACTCGGTATCTTTTGAATGTTTTTATTTATTTTTTTATTTTTATTTATTTATTTTTTTTATTTAAGAACTTTCATCTACTTTTTTTAATATTATTAAATAGTTTTGTAAGACAAGATAATTTTAAGCTGAAAGAAAATTTTTAGCCCAAAGGGACAATTTGCCCTGAAGGACTGTTTATTTTGTTTTGGCATTTTGTGCTGAAAACTAAACGGCGAATCACTTTTCAAACTGTTGCCACCAAATATTATCACCATATTATATTTAAATTAATTAAATAATGAAGAGTCAGCATAAATGTATGTATGTTTCTTGCATTGTGATAAAAAAACAATACCTAGAGCCATCCAATTTCGAATAACATGCATTTCCACCCCAGTACGGGCATCTGGAAGCCCAAATTTGGAATTTGTTTTATTAACTATTTCACATTTTGTAAAACTTTCAGGAATTTTTTTATTAACAAACTCAACGATTTCAAAGTGAGCAATGGCAAAACTTCATGAAAAAAAAAAACACCTTCTTTATCTCCTGCGTGCGAGACTCTGTATCGGAACTTCTAAAGATATGCTCATATCTTTCAAATTTTTTTAATACTTTTTTGGCCAGTAATTTTTTTTAATTTAAATTTTTTGAAGAAAAGTTTAACAATTAAAATGTCATTCTTCTCCCACAGTTTTCAATGTTTTTTCACAAATTTTCTTATTGTTATTGTTAGAGAGTTCTTAATAACTTTAATGATTGATTTTGCAAATAATGAATTAGTTTCTAAGAAAAATAAAAATGGATTTTTATATAAAAACTTTGAAACAAATATCTCCTTCACATTTTCACTTCAAATAAATTTTCTTTTTAGTATTTTTCAAAACACATTCTTGTTTCTATAAAGTATATAATTTTAAATAAGCGGTAAAAATATTAAATAATTTAGTCCAAATCTATAAAAGTTTTACATTAAATAAAGAGATTTATCGAAAAATGCAAATTTAGAAAAAGCACTTTAATAAATATAAACGGCCTAAATCGTCATTAAATCATTTCAAATTTCTTAAAAATGTTATTACTGAATTTCAATACATATATATATAAAATAAAACCTAGTGCTATTCAATTGGTTAATATAAACATAAATTACAAGCTTTTATTTAAAATCTTCGTAAAACAGGTTCAAAACAATTTTAATGCATGAATTAATTATAACATATTTTCTAAAACGTTTATAATCAATATTAAAACATTTATAATTAATGTAAATAATATTAATTTGTCATTTTATTCATTTTTTTCAAAAAGCAAAGTTTGAAATTTTAACAGCCAGGAAACATTTTATTTAATACCGTCCAGCAATATACACGATTCTTTCTTTTCTTCTTTTAACCATTTGGTCTCGTATATAAATTGCATTTTAAATTAATTTAGGTGTATTTTAGTTAATATAAGAGTTAAACTCCGATGGCTTTCGATAGCAATAGTAAACAATGCCAAAAAAGATGTGAGTAAACGCTAGAAATCTGCCAATCCGATCCACATTTCTGACATCAGTCATTGCTCGAAGTGGCTTACGAATTGAGGGATGGAAAACCGTGCATCTGAACTGGTCCTGAAAGCGAAACTGCTTCATACCCCTGTTTCTCCCTAATACAATTGGTGGCTGCGCGAAAGAACGTTGCATGTGAACGCGGCTATAATGAAGTGAATAACTGGAATTTAAAGGAGATGTTGCATAAAATTTATAAATTTTCTAACCTCTTGCATAGCAATTTGTAAAAGCAAAGGCAATTTTATACAAGGCTTCTGTACGTACGTTGCTATGCAACCATACATATTCTGGTGTCCATGGAATCCTTTATTTTTGAACAAAGCCCTACACAGATCCCTATCATTGCACGAGCACCACCGATGGTAAGTCATGTAAATTTTTTCCAGTCTATGTCAATTTGACTGAATCAGTCAAGTTAAAAATTCTTTCTGCTACTGTTCTTGTTTCCATTAGTTTGAAAAACAGAAATTCTTCACTTGATGTATTCTTCTCACAAAACGCATTAAATTGGCATTGTCCAGTCTGTAATTTCATCAGTTTGAAGGGGGAAAAAAAATTGCACTGCTTCAAGTGAACTACAACAGTTTCTTCAATATTATCTACTATTTCCACAATTGCTATCTGATTGGAAAGTCACCTATTTATCCCATTTTGCTATTTTATATTACATATATTAGATATGAACATTTTTATTGCATAAATTATTAAATTTTTTGCAACTGTATGGGATATTCATTTTCAATAATTTATTGGAATATTTCATCAGAAGTCATGATTAGATTTTCAGATAAAAACCCCTCAAAAGAATTCGAAGACACAGTTTGTTTGACTATTAATTCTTTCTTACTTATAAAGAATTCTGTCAGCTTGTTATTTTAGTTCGGATGTTTTAATTTTAAGTGCCACTTCAACTTTAAAGGGCTCACACATTTTTTAAAGGGCATTTGATAAAGCCATATAAAAAAATAACACATTATTTCCCAGCACTTTTCAGGAAACCAAATTTTTTATAATCATCAGAATACTGTCAAATCCAGGATGTTTTTATATGTACAATGGGCAGCACCTCATGTGATCATTTGTTAGTGCCATTTTCGGAACTAGTGCTTGGTTGAACATAACTTGACGGTGCATTGCTAATGTCATAGACAAAAATCTTGTCTGAAAATCATTTGATTTTTTATCAGTAATAACCATATGTTTTGTTTGTTTTATTAACCACTTACCCATTGATGATTTGATGTGATAAAATATTATAATGAAAAGCAAATACATACCAAAAAAGTATGCAATATATGAACTTATAATATATTAACTTAATAACTGAGTGTGCAACTAAAGCTATGGTTTATGTCTGCTTTTGTACTCCAATCAAGCCTACATTCAAATACGAACTATACTAAGAAATAAATTAATAAGTTTCAGTATCATGTGCCATCCACGAAGACATCAGATTGGTAAATTTTGAAATCTTTTAGTGGCATAGTTTCATATTAATGTGATACATAAGACGCATAATTTCCTTACTTTTATCTGCAACCCAGCATATTGTATATGTGATCCAGTGCCAGATCATGACCTGGCATTTGAGAAAAGCTGCCTGTCATTTTTTATCAAATAAAAATCAAGCCTTTAGTATTTTATTTGTTTAGTGATGAGTATAACTTAAACATAAATATATCATACATAATATAAACATGATATAAGAATAACATTCTTTGTACACTCAACTATTCAGAATGCAGTATTTTTGAGTCAAGCTTTTACTGTACATAATTCATGTGGAATTCAGAAATGACACATTCCTTTCTACCATACAAGGTTTAATATACTGCAAATAACATCCAGATAATGTAAAATTTTGGGAATAGTATATTCTCTGCATTCTAATTTTTTTTAACAATTAGTACAATTTTCTTTTCTAGTGCTCTTACGAAATCAAATTCAGCTTTAAAAACCATCCACACTCACATGTGTGAGTACAGATGTCTTATCAAGTACAAAATAGATATATATATCAATAAAATATAAACAAAATAATATTAATATAAAATTAAGAAAAAATATCTTTCAACCAATTTTTAAATATTTAATGTACTATACTGCAAACGAATAAGAATTCTACTACAATTTTCGATGCATTTTTTAGAGAAAATTATTAAGTTACCTTCAATTTTATTGCAGAAATAATAAAACACTTATTATGAAATAAAAATAAATTAAATAGTTATTAGTAAATTTATTCCCTTTAGGAGCCCTAAGAAGTAACAATGTTAATTCCCCACCCCCAGAAGCAATGCAACCCTGGTATATATACTGATATTTTCACAGGCTACATCTCTCAAAAGGTTCCTAGCTGTATCACATTTCTTGCAATTTGTCAATTACAAAAAAGCACACAATAATGATAAATTTGGAAAGATTCAAAATATATTAAGTAATTTGAATAATAAAATTACTAACACTCCAAAAATAGGATACCTATAAAATAATTTTCGATGAAATGTAAATGTAGACTAAGTTTTATACAGTTTATCACAAAATTACTGTTACAAATTGTATTAATCACAAATGAAATGTGTTTTCTTTAAAATAGTTTATATAATATAATGACTAACAAAAACTGTTACTTTTACATGCAACTTTTCAAAATTAAACCCCACCACTAAAAGTTAATTTTCAATGTAACTAGATTTCCACATAGGGAAATTTAATTATTTCATTACTTTGAATGAGAATTAAAACTTAAACAGTGATCCCACCCAAAATATCTTAGCATGCAGAGTATTGTAATTTTACTAACAGGAAGAACAAGAAGCACAGCAGATGGAGCTAACTGCAGATCTCTCAAAGTTTCAGAATAGTTTGATTCTGTGAAATGCCTTCTTGGAAATGTAGTGCACAAAGAAAAATTTGTAAAAGGGGGCCGCACTTCCTGAAAGAAAAAAAAGACATATATGTATTAAATTCCTAAACAATGAAGATCAAAACAGGATACTTATCCATATAGATAATACCATTTCTTCATTATTTTGTAAAACTTTCTAATAGTAATAGTTAAAAGAATCTCTGAGAATAATTAGAAGTCCACATGTTAAATGAAACTTTATGTCCCTTCCTTTCCAAAGCAGTAATTTCAAAGAAACATGGAAATGACTTTAAAAAAAGAAAAAGAAAAGAAAGAAAGAAAGAACATATTTACAAAATGCTTGAAAGAACCCCAACTTTCAGTTACACTTGAAAAAGTCCATTGAAAATTTTCTTTCTTGCTATTTCATTGTCATTATTTACTATTTCATTATTTACTATTCATTATTTACTATTTTTATTGTATACATCACTGAAAAGGAAAAATTACTGTGTCAGATACTAAAGAGGATAAGTTTTAAAATTTATGTTACTTCATTTCAACATTAACTTAACTTTTCTAAAACAATTAAAGTATTAATTAGGTTATAAATTATCATATTTTATAAAATGTCAGACAAGTGAGATAAATTACAATAGCAACAATACTTCTGTTATGTCTACATACATCCAATTATCTACAGTAACATACTACTAACTCAATACCCTGACATACACTGCCTCGATTTAAGTAATTTCACATTTAAATAGCTGTAAGAAATTCTATGAAAAGAAATTTTAGTACAGTTTTACTACTCTTAGAAGAAACTTTTTATTTATTTATTTATTTTTTCTGTTTAACTTGTTGAAATTGAGTTATGCAGCTACTACATATGCTACTATATAATTATGAAGCTACTATATAATTTTTAAACTCATAGTTTTTATTATGAGAAAAACATATAGCTAGGAGGTTGTTGATGAACATTGCTGTAGAAATCCTGAACTCCTACATTCAGGAATTCACAAATCAAAGTCTTCTACAATTTGGGATACAAAGATTTTCAAAGAAACTAAGGAAGCTGAACTTAAGCCTATTGAATAAACTCTCTTTCAAAATTAAAAGAAGCATTAAATCTCAATAAAAAAGCAGATTGCCCAGTCGGTATGGTGGTCAATTGAAGCCACCTGAATTCAAATCACTCACAAAGCTAGACTATTCGTGATTATAGTATTCTGGTGGAATTAGAACATTTAAAATCTATTAATCCTTTTTAGTGGTCATCCAGTCCAAAATGTTTACTTCTCTTAAAAGTTCGAGCAAATCTTAAGTCCTGCTTGTAGAAAACAATAAAAATTTGCTTTTGCACAACATGCATGACTAAAATACAAAATGTCTGCACTGTCAATTTCAATAAACAGTGTCAGTGGCCTCAAAGTCAGAGGTTGTTCATAACCTATGTTTTTTCAAGATATATAATAAAATAATAATAAATAATTCAGTTTATCAGGTGTGAAATAAAATGAAAAAAGAAAAAAAAAGCATGTATTAATTTCTCTAATATGTAATAAGAGCTGTGATGATACAATTCAGACTTAAAACAAAATTAATGCAAGTACAAAGGCAATGCAGTACAAATAAAGAGAGAGATAACTGGGAAATTTCATTTACAAAACTGCTTTGAAACATTTGACATACAAAATTTCATATCAGCGAATGAAATTATCTTCAAAAAAAAATCTTTTTATACCTAATTAAAACAAAACTAAATAATATGCTGTTTGTAAATAATCATCAGTAAAGTTTTCCTTAAAATAAATCCCTACCATATCTTTCTAATTATGTTCCATGTGTATGCACTATTAGCAATTATGGAATGTGCTAAAATTGAAATTTTAGATTTATTAAAAAATGCTCTTAATACTTCTTTTTCTATTTTACAAGCCAGGAAAGTCTTAAATGTTATTCTTAAGAATCTTTCCCTTTTCATGAATTATGAACAAACCAGTCAAAATGAGGATTCAGTACCTTTAAACTCAGAATCTTAAAAAGAATGAAGAAATGGGTTTTTTATACATATTTACCATATAAATTCAAAATTAATTTTAAAATTATATAAAATGAAAAAATTTTACAGAGATTCATGATTCAATCTACAGGCATATCCAAAATTCTTTACATGCATAAATTATGAATTTCTCAGAAACTGTGAAGTATAACAACACATAAATACAAGGGAAACAATTTAACCGCTTGCCTGATTATCCCGGGTTCGTATATATTGCAGTTAATTATTATCCCGAGAAAACTTGGGCAAAGCAGAATTTGTCAGTATGATTTGTTTTATCACGGTTTCACTCGGCTTGGAGGAAATGAAAGGAAATATTCAGCTTTTATTGGCAATTCACCAAGTTTTGATGGTTTCGCGGTTCTTTTGGCGGGACTGGTCACGTGTTTTCCCTATTGTCTAGTATACATCGGCTTGTGGATTAGTAATGTATAAAAGAATGATAGTTGCATTGAAAAAAGTAAAATAATTGCGATGATGCAAGATAGCGAAAGCGATGATTTTTCAGATAGAGATTATAACCTCAAGGCATTTTCCAGATGTTATTCCTGCTACTGAAAAAAAATCAAATCCAATGAGACAGTGTCCTCTGTGCTCCTGCAAAAGAGATTCCAGAGGTAAGCCAGTAAGAAAAGAGACCAGACACCAGTGTATAGAATGTTAGGTATCACTTTGTGTTGTCCCTTGTTTCAAAAACTCTCATACAACAACTAATATTTAATTTTTTTTTTTATTTGCCTGAGATAACTCGAGATAGTAAACTAATATAAAAACTAAATGCTTTTACACCTGTAAAAAATTAAAAATTCAACTTAAAACCTATATATTTTGTTTTGTTTCGTTTCCTAGTACTTAATAATAAAATAAATAAATGTGATGATTTTTTGCAATTTTTTTCAAAAAAATGTGTAAGGGAAGCGGTTAAGAGCACTGTATATGATATAAAACTGTAGCATGAAACAATAAAAATTTTACAAGAAATATAACTCAGATATTCACTTGTGCAACGTGTTTAATTTACCATGTCTTGATTTGCATATCAGAAACTGTTTGATCACTTTTGATTCCATATTGTTAATTAACTTGCTTTTCACACATTCTCTGCACACACTGATTATATAAATTGGTATTTCATTAAATATTATTATTTTTAGGTACTTAAAGATACTTGGACATAAGCACATTTGTAATAACAATAATAATAAAAAATTTTACCATGCTTGCAGATAAATAACTTCATTAATAAAATAAATTTCATCTAAAATATGTTAACACACTGTCATTTTCATTTATCTACAACAAAAATTATCAATAAATTTCCACTCTGTTGAATTTTTTTAGAATAGAAGTTCTATTTGTATACATCCAAAACTATGGATAAATTACAGATATTCACAAAATTAGTGGTCAGAGATTATCAGAATTATATTTTATTAAAGATGTCTATACATTAACTTTTCATGTAAGCACAGCATCTGTAAATTAATGGAGTTTCATTGCATTGATACCTACTTCTATAACAAACCTTCTTGCTTCTTCAAGCGATGAATCTGCAGGAAAACTGTGAGTAGTAAATGAGCCGTCAGGAAGACGAAACTGAATGCGTGCTTCATTGCTAAAAAAAAATTCAGTTTTTCTTATTTTCTGGTCCTTATTTTAATATTATAATGTAGTCTGTGATTTATAAATATAGAAGTTTAAAAAATAACAGAAATTTGGATGAAATAACCCCCCCCCCACATACACACACAAACACAAAATTTCAGAATATCAAGCTTTTAATTTCATCAAGTATAAAGGGAAAAAATTCCTGAAAAGTCATATAGTATGAGTCATTATGAAGTCATGAAATTAAGCTCATACTTCACTTATATACATAATTATCCTTAGTCATGAAGCTGCAATAAGTGTTTATGCAGAGATGTTATTTTTAATTTCCGGAATTCTGTGATAATGTGGAAGGGGTACCTAATGATATCTAAATTAAATAAAATTGTCTACCTGTTCATTGCGGCACTCCTTGCTGCTCTTTCCTGTTCTTCTCGTATTTTAGCTTGTCTTTCTCTCTCGGCTTGCTCAGCTTCTTTAGTCATTTGATATTTTGCAGCTCGTTCAGCTCTGGAATTCACAAAGTTTTAATAACGATGCAAATAAACAATTTAAACATACAAAAGTTGACAAAATAAAGGAAACCCTCTGAAAAAGATAACTTTGTGTGTATCCCTTATACAATAAAACCCTAAACATAAACAAAAAAACCCACTTTTATGTGTGATTATTTTATGCACATTCTCAAGGTTGTGAAAGTTTTAGTTATAGTTTGTAAAATTTAATATTAAGAGATACTGTGCCTAAAATTTTGATAGCATAATATTCACTAGAAAATATCATCTGCAATGCACAAACAGAAGAAGAAAGTAAAACTTACTGACACAGCCAGAATGATGATAAAAATTATTGTTACATCAAAAACTAGTGAAACAAAAATGACTGCTGAAAACACAAAAAAATTACTAAAAACATCATCTGCAAAGCATAAGTAGGATAAGAAAATAAAATTTACTGACACAGCCAAAATAATGTTAAAATTACTGTTATATTAAAAACTACTGAAACAAAGATGATATGCATCTACAGAACAAAGTTTGACGTAGATAGTACAAAGAGAAACGCATGAGTGAATATTTACAAATGAACTGCTATCTCAAAACCTCTTGTTTCACAAATAAACGTAAAATGTCGGTAACATAAAATACGAAATATTAATCATTTGAAACAAGTAAGAAGCTAATCTTCACACTATTCCTGACTTTAAGTAAGTGCATGTCGAGAATGTCAGATGAAGTTTATAATCCAAACTGCCTGCTTCTTACAGTAAAACACAGTGCTCATTTAGTTATGCTTTGAGCAGTTGCACTGCTGTTTGCAGCAAGTTTAAAATTATCACCTTAGAAAGAAAAATAAATAGCAAAGACTATGTAACTATGTTCAAACATACAGACACTATTTCCTATGGGTGCTTGTATCAAGAATAATAATGTCCCGCCCTCAATTCACCAACTACATATTGTTCAATCACGATTTATATACTACAAAGATGAAGTTAAGACATTATTGAACCCCTGCAGACTATGCTTGAAAATGCAGCAAGATTCCATTTTTCACCTGCAGAATCTCTAACAAAATTGGAGCAATTTCTGATAGAAAAATAGAATAATAGTTCTGGATGACAGTCCTACACTACATTAAATCACAGTTCTTCAATTTTTTTAAAAAGAATTTCCATTATTTTGAATATGCATAATACAAATATATATACTAGAAAAGATTTTATGCATTTATTCACTTCTTAATACATCATTAAGAATAGAAATGGCTTTTCTCCCCCCCCCTGTGGCCTACACTATTGTAAAACTGTCTGGCTGATTAGAGATACTGAGTCTGACATGCCTATTTAAGGAAATACTTATATATATAAGTATTAAAAGTGAATAAATGCACAAAAATCTTATCTGACACTGTTCCTTGAAGAAACAAAAGAACATTAAAGTCCTGAAAGCATATATATTGTTTCTTTCTCTAGAGCTGGCATCATTTTCCTGAAAGTAGCTTTCATATGTCTGGAGACATGCTGCTCAAACTAGCAATTTTTAGAAGTCAGATGAATGCCTGTTAACTTGGATCTCACTAGGGGAATTTATTCCTTTTCATTAGTGAGAAACTTTATTTAATTCACATTACCCAACATAAAATCACATGAAATGCAAATCTGCAACTTTCCGAGAGCCATGCAGACAAATATTTGTAAAATTCAGGGACACCAGAATTTTTTTTCACTTATTTTGAATTCACTGACTTTTTGCTGAGCCAATAATACCATCTGTAAATGGTCTGGCACTTTCTTAATGTTCACTGAGAAAATATTTTTATAAAGAGACAAGCTTAAGAGTCCTTTTTAGTACCCAAGGTTGTATATATGCCTCAATAACAGGCGGTATTATAATTATATACATTTTGTTATTTTCTCGGAGTGGGCTGTAGAAAAACGATTCAAAAGCTGCAAGTGTGACATGCTTGCCTATGATGCTGAGATTTTTAAAGTTAATTCACAGAGACAGTAGATCAGTACACTTTTCTACGATTTTTAGCCCAAAGGGTGTTAGCCCAGAAGGGTTATTAATTTCGCTTTAGCATTTTGCATTGGTTACCTACAACAGTCTGAATCACTTTTCAAATTATTGCTACAAAATATTAGAGCCCTGCATCATATTTAAAGAAATTAAATGATGAAAAATCTGCATGAATGTATGTATGTTTCTCGCATTGTAAAAAAAAGATCAAATTTTGAAACAAATCAAATTTTGAATAATGTAGCCCTCCACTTGAATACGGGCATCTGGAAGCACAAATTTGGAATTTGCTTTATTATCTATGTAATATTTTGTAAAACTTTAATGAATTTTTGAATAACAAACTCGATGATTTCAAAGCGGTCTATTAACATTAACATTGTGTGTATCTTCAAGCACAGATATTTTGTGCACGAGACTTCTTTACATTTCTTACTAGTATTATGTTGGTAGCGTAGCAATGCAAAGACATTACAATGTATAAAGGTATTTTGTGTCAAATGTGTGCATCACTTTTCAAATCCCATTTTGAATCCTCCCCGGAACAAAATCAGAAAGTTTTCAGATTTTATCCCCCCTTTGTTATCATTTATATATGCCAACTCATTAATACAACTTTCAGCTTCCTGGACTGCACAAAAGAAAACTGTGTAACAGTATTACTTTTATTAGACTGAATCCTGGATTAAACACCTGCCAATCTTTCTGCATTCTAAATTAAATGCATACTGTTTAATAACTAATGGTGGATAGCTAACATCTTATATAAATTAGTCTGAATAGAGAATTACTTATTGTTTAATAGAGGAATATATCATACCTCAATTAGATTAAGAAGTATCATATCACAGGAGATCGATATTGAACTTGGCAATACTTTTTTTATAAAAAAATTATATGACTGTTTTGAATTTTCCATCAGAAGCCACATCAAAAGCCATACCTACTTTAACATAATATTAAGGTTAAACACTTAAAGTTCTAATTAAAAATCTAAAAATATTGATTCCTCCCTCTGATTTTTACTATTTTGTGCATTAAAGAACATTAATGAGTATCGTAAAAAATTCTCCAAAAAAGGCTCCTTGAAAAATTAACAAAATTGCGTGATTCAAATATTTGTAATTATGGCCAATTAAATATACTCCCTCCCCCTCAAAAAGAAGAAATTAAAATGAACTGCATATATATTAAGTGCACTCTGCGCACCTATCTCAAATTACATTTTTATCGATTCTACATCTTTTTTGACAATACAAGAGATAAAATGCATTCCTAAGACGAAATATCATAGTTCATAGTGATATTAGTTATGGTTTCCAATTTTCCAAATGGCCAATAAAAGATTTCAGTATTGGCTGTTAAAAGCTTCAATTCCCAAATCTGAAATTAGAGTCTTATGTAAGCTATCTGCATCATTAGCGTTACATAAAACTCATATGACATGAATTAATTTGGAATGGCACATATTAGAGAGATTTATTATCAGCAATTACTACTTTTAGGACAGAAAGGAGAAACAGCCACATTAAAATGCAGAATTAAGGGACTGTTGCAAAGTAAAGTTACAATTTTGCCTTCATCTTCCATATGCATATACTTTTTGATTCCATATGCCATATACTTTGTGATTCACATCATGACAATGGTTTTACACCAAATTTTGCTCTTTTATGAGATACTACATTCATACTAGACAATCTTTGTAAAACAATAAACATTCATCAATAGACACCAGTTTCTTTGGCAAATGAAAGCTCCAAATTTTAGTGAATAGGTCAAGTTTTGGGTTGTAATTTGTTAGATCAAATTTGTCATTATTAAAAAAAAAAAGCAAATATCACTTTATAGTTTTGAATTGTTTTTCAACCATACAAGTAATAAGAAATCATGCATATAACAATAGATTTTTACCTCCAAGGATGATGGAATTCTAGTTTTCTTATTTACACTCTAAAATTACCAACAGCCAAAAATACTCTTGTTTCATATGAATTTGGGATGTACCAAGAAACAACTGACATATACCATATAATTTGTTTCATCTACAACCATTAATGATTTAAAATTAGGCATTTCTTTTCCTATTTAACATTAAAAAATATTGCTAGAGTTGCAATTAATATTTTCATTCTCAAAAGCAGCATTAATTTTGAAATCACTCACTATATCCTATATTGTCATTATCAAAGCTAAATAACCAGTCTTGATCACTATCCATACTAGGGTAATATATATAACCTAATATGTAACATACAATGTCAAACTAAAATATTATATTAATACATGTATGTTCAAATGGTGATGTGCCAAAGAACATGTACATGTGATTTTTACCAAATGAAAGAAAATATGTGTGTACATGTGACTTTTACCGGCTGAAAGAAAATATGTACTGAACTGGCTTATAAATACATTTAGTTCACGCTTGTCACTTGTACATGAGACCTAAGTTTAAATTTAAATAAAATAACTGAGGTGAAAAGAAAAGTTCCGACTTCTTTCCTTTAAATAGAGTGCATCAAGGGGTTAAAACTGTTTCTGTCTTCACCACATGTATTCAATTCTACACAGATTCACATACATCATATTTCCAAACCAATCTCAAAATTTAGCTACATTAGGCAAAAGACTTTTATTATTTATTTCCTTACATGCATTCAGCTTCCGAGTGTACAAAACAGCAAATCCTAATAAACACTGTGATAACATTATAATAATTACTCAAGAAATTTCATAAAATTTGAATATAAAAACTGCATATTTATGATCTTTATACTAAGATCAGTGATATTTATATTTTGAAAATTTTAAATTTTTTTTTCCGCCATAAAAATTAACAAGAAGCTAGAAACATCTGAATAAGCTGCAAAATAATGCATTTTAAACTCAGCAATTATCTGGTACAGGATATAAGATTTATAATTTCCAGCTATTAAAACAACATGGCTAATTAAAAAATGCCATCATACCTGTCCTGTGCTATCATGGCTTTAACTTTTTCCCTTGCCAATCTTTCTTCCTCCTTTTCCTTAGCTCGATTTTTTGCCCATTCTCTCATTTCAGTGTCCCGTTTTGCCTGCTCTGCTTGCTGCATGGCTTTTCCAATACTCCTTCTTTCTAATTCTTCTTTTTTTTCTTTCTGGAAAATAAAATAAATACAGATAGGTGCATTAAAAAAATTATAAAACATACAAAATCACTAAATACAAAATATGAACTGAAATATTTTTCAAAAATAGAATTTCACAAACTAGTCTTTTATTCTCTAGGATCTGTTCAAATAAACAACAAAAAAAGGTACTTAATGTGCTATTGTTACAATACTGGCACAATTTGGCGTTGTTTTTCAGATGTAAATGTAAAAGTTACTTTATGCAAGTTGGTGTTTTTCGTGCTTTCCTTTTTAGAAAGGTTCCCAAACTATCAATATTTATAGTAAATCTGGTAAACAATATCAACATAGGAAAAGAAAACATATTTTAACAATTTAAAATACAAATTTGAATTATTTAATATGGATTATGTCATACACTAAAAAATAAAACACATTCTTCATTCATTTTTGGGGGGAGGGAGGGCATTATTCTTTTCCTGAAGTACACAGCAATCTGTTTTCACTTAAAAAAAAATCAGAGAATTGCACAGACCTTCATACAACCTTCCGCAATAGCAGCTATCTAGAAAATGCATTGTCTTGTTGTTCACCTCAGAAAAATTTCAGCAAAATTCTGTATTACTGATGAAATTTTACCGTAGTGTCTTTCCTTGCTGGTGAATTTCACAAGCTCATATTTTAAAATTAAGGCAAAAAATATGATTTGTGTATAAAAACCATTGGAACTTGGAATATAACAAAATAGAATGCATATGAAACTGGCGGCGTTGCTTGACTTAAATGATTGTTATGAGCATAATTGCAGGAAGCATGGTTGTGCGCATGATCGCCACAGTTTGCACTTCCTGAAACTTTGGCTACTCCTACTAAGATGGTTGCGATAGCACGTAAGTACACAAAAAACTAGAAATCATTACTTAATTAGAATTTGTAACAATATTAAGTAACATAGATCCTCCTCCAAAGCAACCATCAAATAGCAATAAAAAATCAGCAAATAAAAATAATTACCTCCTTTTCTTCTAATTCTCTGCTTTGTTTCTGTGCTTCTAATAATGCTTTAGCTCTAAAATACATAAATAATAATAATAGTAAAATCAAGACAAATTTCTTAAAAACAGAGCTAGTAACTGAAAAACATTTCTTAAAACCAATATAAAAATATGAATGTTGATTTTTCAGAAATACTGATCACTTTGGCACGCTGACAATAACTTTTTATCATATATAATAAAACTAATTTAAAATTATCACTAAAACATAAACAATCAAAAACATATTTTACTAACTGGCCAACAAACAATTTTTTATCATGAATAATTTATGCAAAGAATGCAAAATTCCCATTTTTCTCCCAATTTAAATGTAATGTCAGATGAAATTTTATAAAAAGTGAAATAAATGTATTTGCATAAAATCCAAACATTTCAAATGCAAACTACAAACTGTACATGTTGTTAATTTTTTTTTTTTTTTTTTTTTTTTTTTAATAGAAAATTTAACAGATCACTTCTGCTTGTAGTTTCAATGAAACACATATTGAGGTATACTGCAAAGCAATGAAGAAGCTACAGAAATCTCAACTACTTAGAATTATACATATTGCATGTATTTTCAACAACCTTACTATTTCAGTTAACTTACAGATATTCTGCTTAGTAAGAGCAAATGAATTCTTACTGCAAATGGAAATTTAATTAAACAAACACTAAAATTATTATTGCAATTTTTGGTACATAAATAAATTAACGGAAACATGTTCAAGAACACTTTCAGTAAAAATTATTTACCATAAAGTGGAAGACTTGATCTATTAACAGATATATTATATATCAAATTTATAATAAAAAAAATTAAACTAAATTCAGCATTAAATAAAATTCTAAACAATACAAAAGAATTTCAATCATAATTTGAGAAAGTAATTCATCTAAGCTAACATCTATAAAATACTCTTCATTAAAGGATACCTTACAAAATATTTATTTATATTTAAGACTTTTAATATATTTAAGAATTGTATCAAATAATTAAAAGAAAATGTAAAATCTCACAACTGAAAATGCAAATACTCTAAATATGCAATATTACAGTCATTATGTTGCTTCCATTTATACTTACATGGCTTTTGAACTTCTTACAGATTACAAACAATAAATTCTGTAAGTTTTTCTAGAAATGCCTCAGTGGTTTCAGTGTTGCACTGTGCAACACATGTCTTTGAACAATATGGTGGTAAAAGTTTGAATATTTTGTTCATAATTCCATTCTTGATTTTCCTAGTTTCCAACCCCATCAATAAGTAATTTTTATTTTCTTCCACATTTATTTTTATGTACTTATGTATTTGTCATCTATCTCGTATGCATCTCTTCATTCATATTTTCATCTAGCTACCAACATCCAAAAACTGCCCAAATTCAGTGAATGTATTCAACGACTAATTATATATTCACTGCAAGAAAGTTAAGTGCTCTTTTAAGGCTCAAATAATCTTCTTGAAAGTGCTATTCAAAATTTTGATAAAATAAATTTCAAATAAATTTTATTGCCAACTGATAATGAATAATTCGGTACAGTTATGTTATTGGAACCAGATTCAGATAACGGCAAAGAAATTAGAAATAAAAAAATTCGGTTAGCAAATTAAGATTCATGTGGATGCATGATACTGCTGGTATCATTTAAAATGTCTGAAAACATTTGCATCCTAGGACACTGCCACATAACTCAATAAAATAAGAATCTAATTGGTTACGGTCAGCACTGAGTTGAAGTTTATTTTCGCTATTTTACACTGCCTCATAATCTTTTTTAACAGTTTTTGTGTATGACAACTAATATTGGGACTGATAAAATATTTATGGTTAATGCAGAAATGTTCAAATCCAGCTTCTTTTTATTCCTTAGTGTTATACCCTTTCCAAGTCTGAGTATATTATAGTGTCATCAATAATATTTTCTTCAATAACTTTAAACAAAGTTCTGGCAGAGTAGTTAGGCACAGCAACTAAAGAACATTCTTTTGTTTCTTGGCAAATTCCACCACACACTTACTGGAGCATAATGAAATGACCAACATTATTTTTCTGATGCAAAAACAGATTTTGTCAAATTCAACAATATTAACATTGACACCTAACCTGACAATCTAGACCAGCGGTTCTCAACCTTTTGACCTACGCGTACCATCTAAACAAAAATTGAAAACCTTTTAGTAACACCACTACAAAGTACTACTACCACCACCACTCTTGAACAAAGCTCAGATAGCATAAATTTACAAAATGTTAGAGGAAAAAACTCAATCAGGATGTTGGGGTTTTAATTTTTTGAATTTAATAGTTAAAAATACTTTGCTTCTTTCTTTGCGTACCACCGTTTGAGAATCTTTGATCTAGACATTAATGCATGCCTACAGACTGCCTTTATAACAGTTCCAATCAACAACAGTGCAATGAGTCCTATCAAGTTGATACTAACAAAATTCAACTGAATTTAATTCTAAACACCATGCATAAACAAAACAAAAAAAAAAAAAAAATTGTGATTACATAACTGATTCTCAATTCTTCAAACCAGTTTTGAGAACATACTCCATGGAGTATCTCCCCCTTGACAGATCATATCTTTTTACATCTCCATTTTGATGCTCCCTTCGAATTGAAGTAGAGCTTCATTTTATGGTTTTTTTGTGCACTCGCTTTCACAGTGAATAATTTCTCGTTCCTAGAGAAATTGTATGGGAGATGCTTGATCTTTAGGTAACTCTCAAATTTTCATATTGATGGTAAATACAATAATAAAAATGTAAGTGACCATTACATCTTTAAAATGTGTATTCTTGTTGCCAATTTTGAAAAGGCATTCTTACTTTTCTTTAAAAAGTAAACATTAGCAACTTCATATGAACCAATTTCGGTGAGTTTAGCAAAACACTGGGTGATGACTCTTTTCTCGATAACAAAACAGTACCAATTTTCATTTATATTCAATATTAAAGTACATTGTTAAGTTAGCCATTTAAAATTTTTCAGTACTTTTTAACATTTTGTAAGAACTATTATTTTATGACATGTATGTCATAAAAGAATAGACATATAATACCCTATAATAGTTCAACTTAACCCTACAATAGCGGAAAATTTCTAAACTGTCATTTATATAAAACAAAAATCTAATGGTTATGTTGAAGTTTTATAACAGCATACAGATCACAATTCCTCTTGATATATTTTCATTTAATTCAGCATACTTTCTGATTATCCATACTCTCTTCTAAAAAGCTGGTATTTAATCCTACACCAAACTAATACGCAAAAGCAAGTCATTCTGAAAATGGCAGCACACGAAGAATTCCATAAAAGAGTAAGGAATAAATAAAAATGCAAGAAGCATTCATAATAAAACACATTTTTCAAGAAATTGTTATGTGTTTTCTCCCCCTCTCCCCATGTACACTGCAATCTGTTTTTGCTTAAAAAAAATCACAGAATTGCATAAATTTTGTACTATGCATGTTGTTGTTCTTCCTGTGTACACAGTAACTGGATTTTGTTTTAAAAAGATTCTCAGAAATGAAGAAAATTGGCTCTGTGTATGCTTTTGTTCTTCCCATGTACACAATGATCTGTTTTCACTTAAGATTAGAAAATTACACAAATTTAACACTTCACACAATTCAACCCTTAAAATATGGTCATTTAAAAAGTACAGCTTACCAGAATGTAAATTTTTTCATTCTCTGCTACAGGACAGAATGCCATATTTCTAAAGAAATGCAACCTCCTCTTTTTTACCAGTCAGCAAGCTCAACAGTTCCATTACAATTCCTTAACCCCCCCCCCCCCCCAAAAAAAAAAATTGTACTCAATGCAAAAACAAATTTTAATAAGGAAAAGCCCACAAAATTTGAAGGTGGAAATTGCCTTCAAATTCAAAAAATTGAAGGTGGTAGTGCCTGGCAAAAACCAAGCCTTGCTATTTTTGCCAACTTAACGCACTGCCTTGCGAATGCTTTTCAGGGGGCTGCAGATAATCAGAAAGAACCAATTTTGTTCAGACGATATTCTTTAATACTTTTAATTTTATATTATTTTTAATTTTTTTAAAAATATACTTTCAAAATTAAAATATTTTTTTAAGTTAAGGTTTAATGTTATCTGACGACATAAATTTCACTTTATGACCTGGCAACAATAAATATATTTTTATTTAAGAAAAGATGTGAAACATTTGTACAACTTTTCACATCCTTTATTTATTTATTTTTTTTTTAATTTAATGATTTTTAAATAGCAATTTTTTCTTTTTTCTGTGGCTCAGAATAAGTCATCATGCAACATAAAAGGCTTGCCCGCACACAAATTTTCAATAAAATGAGGGGAAAATTACACTTCTTAAAATACAAATGTTACAAAAATCTACCAACTTTAATAAATTCTTCTCATTTTTACAAAACTACTCTAGTTTTCCAATCTTACATGCAAAACTAATTTTTCATAAAGATGCTAAAAGTTCAGCCAATCTGGTAATTTGCATCTGAATCACTATTTTAAATGCATAATCTTGACAAACATTTATACTACCATTTGAATCTGTTCTCTTCGTTGCATGAAAAATTCATTTTGTGGAACATAAAATCATTTGTTGCACTCCCAAGTGACTTATCCATGTTATGGCCTCTAAAATCAATTTGTCTCAAAAATTCTAATTTAATGGTTTGCAAATTTTATGATTTTTTAAAAATAAATATAATAATGCTATTACAATATCATTAAAATTACACTATTTTCTTCTATCATGTTTTAAAATGACATTTTGGCAATATCCGAGTATCATATCTTGATTTTGAATTACTTTATAGCAAAAACAAAAAGCCTGTAATTAATTTTATTTATCAAATTCTCAATTTTTTATGGTAAGTGTTCTTTCCCATATAAATGTTTCAAAATAATTATATTTGTGCATGTTTTTCCAACAGTTTCCTTTACAATACTTTTCTGAATTTTTTTTTAAACATCTTCTGATTTTTATCCTTACAAATACAAAAAATATAAAACAAAATTAATCACATTAACCTAGCTAAATACTGAATAATGTACACAGTAATATATTAAGCAATAACTAAATCATTCATAAATTGAGAAAACTTACCTTTCAACTTTTGCTTGTAATGTTAATTTAGATTCTGCCTCCTATTAAAAATAACAAATAAAATTTTATACAAAATGTACATCACAAAACAAAAAAGTAATATTAAAAAAATGGGGGGGGGGAAACCTTCTAAAATATTTGAATGAGGCTTTAAATTTTTGAAAATGGATTCAGGGAAAAAATTTGTGCATCCATACTCATAAGTAATATTTTCAAAAACTACAACACTTACATGATGCCATTTAAAATTATACCAAGCATTTCAGATGACACGATAGTCATGTAACACACATAAACACGGTAATCGCTTTATCAATCATCGTCTTAAAAGAGCAGGCATTAAATACTCTCTCTAAATCATTTGACTGATAGGTATATGAAAATTTGTTCCTAAACCTGAAAAAACAGTATAAGTTGGATGACTATCAGCTGGAGGATTTGTACATAATGTAATTATGGAAATAATTCTATATAATGTAAAAAATCATTGTTTTCTAACTTTTTTTTCTTATTCCTTTTGCTGTTACTAAAAAAATGAGCCTATTTCATACTCCAGGTCTGCTTAATAGCTCGTCAGCAATGAAAATTACTTCTTTTCTTGTTCATTCCACAGTGATAATTAGCCAGAAATTAATTAATTTCCATTCACTGGTCAGTATAATATCAAAATTCTAACAGACGCATTTACAATCACAAAAAAGCTCCGCAACCACTTTCCATCCACATTCCAAAAATAGCTTCTCAAAGGTTAACCAACTTGAATAATTCAAAGAGGGAAAACCATCAGTCACGGTGAAGGACTTAAGATCATCAGTGACTTTAATATCAATGTACGAAAAAATGCTTGTAATGCACAGATTTTTCACGCTAACCTGTGAAATGCACTTCAATAAATTTCTATAAGCACAAAAAGTTTGTTGTGCATTTTGTACATTTTTGCAATAATTAAACTTTTTTTAATTAAGATTCCTCAATTTTAACTTTTAATTAATTTTCATTCTTACGTAACTTCAAATTTAAGTAAATACCTATGACTATGTTACTTATTTATAGATCATTTACTTAAAGATTGATACGACATGAATTTCTAATTAAATTTTATTTTTTTTAGTATGTACCTTCTGATAACTCTATTTAAGGGACAAACTATCTAGTTTGTTGGGCGTCCTTACTGTAAGTATATTTGGTGGTCGTGTGTGCTTAATGCATGATATAATTAAAGAAAATAAGAGTAGACAATCTCCTATAACAAAAGAATATATTAAGTACTAAATTACAATTTAAATTACATTGCAGAGATCAACACAGAGCTCGGAACACAGTTGTCTTTCGAGAAGTCTGAGTGAGTAATGACGTCCCTTTGCTGCTCCGATTAAGAACTGGATTTTACATGTGGCGCCATCTCATGAATAGAAGTTGAAGTATCTGTCGGAACGCCACAGTACTCCCCCCAAGTACCATCGGTACGTTATAAGTACTTTGGGTTAAATTTAACCTTTCTTCCAGATCTGGTAGTTTTAGGTTGCTCTTTAACAGGATGTAAGCTTTCTTTCTTCTTCGGGAGTGATGTTGATGAGGAAGTTGTTGGATCTTGCATTAGAAATGCTGGTTTGAGACGATCGATTCCAATCACTGATTGTTTACCATTGCAGATGATGGTGAAATGTTTCGGTGTTCGTTTGACAACTTTGAATGGACCATCATATGAAGGTGTTAAAGTTGGCTTAATTGCATCGTTTGCGCACGAATACGTGCGAAGATGTCTCAAGCGCAGGATGTACAAAATAGCTTGGCTGGTTATGCGAAGATGCTGGGGTTGGCGAGATATTGCTCATGGTCTCACGTAAACGTTGAAGGAATGTTGGAGGGTCGATAACTGGAGTAGATTCTGGGTGAAAGAATTCACCTGGCAGACGGAGGGTTGCACCATATAACATTTCAGCACAAGTGCTACCAATGTCTTCTTTGAATGCTGCGCGAAGACCAAGCAAGACTAGGGGTAAGGCTTCTGTCCAGTGTGTGCTACTGTGGCACTTCAGACCTTGTTTGAGAGATCGGTGAAAGCGTTCCACCATCCCATTTCCAGATGGATGGTATGGTGTTGAGCGAATATGGCGAATGCCAAGAAGAGAGGTGAGGGATGCAAACAAGTGACATTGAAATTGTCGGCCTTGGTCAGTAGTGATGGTGGTAGGCATGCCAAATCTTGAAAGCCACTGGGAGATGAATGCTCGAGCTACAGTTTCAGCGGATATATTTTCAATAGGAATGGCTTCAGGCCATCTTGTGTACCGATCAATACAAGTGAGGAGGTAAGTGTAACCATTTGAAGGAGGCAATGGGCCAACCAAGTCTAAGTGCACATGATCAAAGCGTCTTGCTGGAAGGTTAAATTGTTGAATGGGGCTGCGAGTGTGTGTGACGGGATACTTTACACCGTTGACATCTAATACATGAACGAGTCCATTCTGTGATGTCTTGATTCATTGCTGGCCAGACAAATCTGTCTGCGATCAGCTTTTTGGTGGCACGGATTCCAGGATGTGCCAAATTGTGCAAGGCATTAAACACTTCACGTCTAAAATTGACAGGAATATAGGGACGTATTCTATTGTTCTCTATGTCACAGTAAATTTTAAGCATTGGATCAATGTGGAGCGGTTGTAACTGAAGGGAGGTTTGTGGATTTGAGATTAGGTTCTTGAGTTCCTCATCATGCAATTGAGCTTTTGCAATTTCAGAGAAATCTGGGGTAGTGAGGTTGATATTGTTTACCCGAGACAAGGCATCAGCAACACAATTATCAGTACCAGAGACATATCTGATATCTGTACTAAACTGGGCAATGAAATCCAGATGTCGAAGCTGACGAGGAGAACGTGAGTCAGAGTTTTTTCTAAAAGCGAAGGTTAATGGTCGATGATAAGTGAAAATGATGAAGTCGTGTCCTTCCAAGTTGTGCCGGAAGTATTTAACAGCACAGTACACAGCAAGTAGCTCTCTGTCATATGTGCTGTATTTCCTTTCTGCAGTAGTAAGTTTTCTGGAAAAGAATGCCATTGGGGAAAGTCCTTTAGTGGTATGGGCTTGTAGCACTGCTCCTATGGCCGTGTCAGATGCATCTACCATTATAGAGAGCTGATCACTAGGTGAGTGATAAGAAAGTGTGGCTGCATTTGCCAGATCGTGTTTGCATTGCACGAATGCTGCAGATGCAGATTCAGTCCAAAGGACAGCTCGCTGATCTTTTTTTTTTTTTTTTTTTTTTTTGCTATTCTTCAGAAACTCGTGTAGGCAGGCTTGTGTTTTTGCGGCATTTGGCAGAAAGCGTCGGTAGAAATTTAACATTGCTAGAAAACGCTTCAGTTCAGAGATGGTTTTGGGCTGAGGTAGGTCGTTAATTGCTTTGACTCTTTCCGGTAAAGGTTTGACTCCATTCTGGGTGATAAGACATCCAAGAAAGGAAACTGAGGGTTGACCAAGTACACATTTGGATGGATTTAGTTTTAATCCATGATCTTTAAGGCGAGTGAAAATCTGACGCAGATGTTGAAAATGTTCTTCCGCATCTGTAGATGCAACCAGGATATCATCAAAATATGGGATGCAGAAATCGAGGCAAGACAGTACTTGGTGTATGAAACGCTGAAATGTTTGGCCAGCATTGCGAAGGCCAAATGGCATATATAAGTACTCAAAGAGACCAAATGGTGTAGTCACTGCGGTCTTGGGCACATCTTCAGCATGCACTGGGATCTGATGATATGCTCTGGCAAGATCGAGGGTAGAAAATATGTTTGTTCCATGAAAAAGATGGGTACAGTCTTGGATATGTGGGACTGGATATCTGTCAGGGACTGTGACGGCATTAAGTCGACGATAATCTCCACACGGCCGCCAGTCACCATTAGACTTTTTAACCATGTGAAGTGGACTGGCCCATGGACTTTTAGATGGGCGAATGGTTCCCTGTGCTAGCATGAATTCAAATTCTTTGCGAGCAGCTTTTAGCATCAGCATCTCTGGAGAAAGACGACGAGGCTTGGAAAATACAGGTGGGCCATGTGTTTCAATGTGATGATACACTTCTGGCTGATGAGATGCTGCTGATGAGCTATGCTGCCCTGATTTGGATGGGTTTAAAATGTCAGGGAATTCTGCTAATAACCGATGAAACCGTGTGCTGCTGCCCGATACAAACACTTATGTTGGTAGGTACGTTCGATATGTGAGAAGCTTGTCCCTGTGATGTCAGCTGAGTTGTAGCATCAATTAAGCAATTATTCTTGACATCCACTAGAAGGTGGAAATGTGTCAAGAAGTCGACACCAATAATTGCTTGAGTTACATCTGCAATAACAAAAGGCCAGTTGAAAGTCTGGCGCAAGTTTAAATCAACTGTCAATAGTTTGGTGCCGTAGGTTGCAATTTGGGTACCATTGGCTGCATACAGTACAAGTTTATTAAGTTGGTGAGCATTTGTTTTAGTTCTCGGGAGCACTGATATGTCAGCTTCAGTATCTACAAGAAAACATAACTGAGTTGAACGATCAGCCAGTACTATTCTGTCGATGTGGCGGACATTCTGTTGGCCAGCAGAAGACCGCCCATTTAGTTTCCCGCTCGTACAAAAGTGCATGGAGGGGCACACTTGCGAGCTTGAGCGCCAAAATTCATAGGATAAAAACATATGCCACTTGTGGGTTCTTTGTACTGCATTCGAGTATTAAGACGAGATGGACTCCTGCTTCGGGCACGAAATTTATTACGGGGGCCCTGATTTGATCGATTGTATCTCCGTGAAGCATGAAGACTTGTAGAGAGTTCAGATACTTTTTTGGTCAATTCAGCCACTTGTTGTTCGAGGGATGAACTGGAAGGTGCAGCATTAGCAGCACTGACATAAGCTGGAGTAACAAGTTCATTAATTTTGTCAGCCATTGCTGCTAAACGGGTTAGATCTTCATTGGAAGCAGCAAGAATTATTTGTATGTTATTAGGGAGATGCGAAAGCCATAGTGACTTCAACAAGTCGTCACTA